CAGCCAGGATGGTTTTCTGGGAATAACCACAGCCACACCCAGAACTGGTTTATGGGAACAAAGCCCAGCACAGCCAGGATGGTTTTTTATGGGGATAAACCCCACGTGCAGCATCCATGGGATGGATCCTGCTGGAACCATCCGTGCTCAGCCCCATTTCTGCATCCCCTCCTGCAGCTCATGGACATCCCTGCTTCCCATCCCTGGCAGTGCCCACGGCCAGGGCTGGAACACCCTGGGATAATGGGAGGTGTCCCAATTTAAGGTTCTTTCCAACCCCAAATATTCCATGATTCCATATCCCCATCCACGAGTGAGGGGGGGTCAGGATGAACTTTAGGATCTCCCCCAACTTCCCATCCCTGGAAGTGCCCACAGCTGGAATATCCTGGGATAATGAGAGGTGTCTCAATTTAAGGTTCCTTCCAATCCCAAACATTCCACATCCCCATCCATGAATGAGAGGGGGGTCAGGATGAGCTTTTAGGGTCTCCCCCATCCCAGAGCACCCCAGGATCCCAGCCCTGCTGAGCTCCCTGCTCACCACAGTAGGCGAATTTGAGGGAGAGGACGCAGCTCTCGTGCAGGTGCAGCTGGTACTTGTCAGGCTTGGTGTGGTGCAGCACCTCCACGTTGCTGCTCTCCATGCCCACTGCCAGCCACTCCCCCGTGGGGCAATACCCCAGAGAGAAAATCTGTGGGGGGGGAAAAAAACAAAACAAAACGGCACATCAGGGGAGAGAGCAGCAGCAATTCCCAGCCCCTCCCATCCCGTGGAAGAGGTTGGGATCAAACACCCTCGAGGCTCCTCCTGAGCCAGCTGGGATTTGTGGCACTGCTGGAGAGGCAGATCCGTGGGTTGGGATGGTTCCATGCCCTTGGATGTTGCTGCCCTTGCCAGCTGGGCAGAGGGTCCCAGCTCTGTCCCCCCAATCAGGGCTCTGGGAGGCTCTGCTGGATCAGAGATTGGGATCCTGATCCCTGATCCCATCCCACCCACAGGGCACCCAGAGAACCCTGTCACACCCACAAGCACCCCAGAAAAAAACTGCTTCTTTAATTCCTTAAGGGTTGCAAAAGAGGAGCTGGCACGAGATCCAGGGAGCCCCAGCACCCCTGGACCACCCCAAAACCATTGGGAACAGCCTGATCCTGGATCCCATCCCACCCACAGGGCACCCAGAGAACCCTGCCAGATCCCCATCAGAAAGAAGAAATACTCCCTTAATTCCTGAAAGGAGCTAGCACAAGATCCAGGGAGCCCCAGCAGCCCTGGACCACCCCAAAACCATTGTGAAGAGCCACGCTGGGAGCTCACAGGGCCAGCAGGAGCATCCCCCAGTGTCTGAGCAATGCCCAGCTCCCCTGGGCTGTACCTGCGAGGTGAAGTCGTGCTGCTGCAGCTGCCGCCCTTCCCGCAGGTCCCAGGAGCGCACGGTGTTGTCCAGGCCCCCCGTCCACAGCTTTGTACCGTCGTGGGAGATGTCTATGCAGCTGGCCCCGTCTGTGTGGCCTTGGAATTGCCTTGGGAGCAAGGGAAAAAAAAAAAAAAAAAGCGTTGGGAGTTCTGGAATCGTGCAAAGGGAGAGTTAGGAAAAGCACAGTGCTGAGTTTGAAATTCCATCCAGGAGCAGCAAGGTTTGGGCTGGTTTAGGGATGAGCACCAGGAGATGGGGCAGCATCACCTGAGGGTGCTCCTGCCCAGAGGGGATGGATGGTGGGAATCCACATCCCTGGGATGATGAAGGATGGGTTGGATGGGGCTTGGAGCGACCTGGGATGGTGGAAGGTGGGGGGAAGAGGAAAAGGGACCATGATGAATGAGGGGGAAGAGGACAGAGATGGCAATGGGGCGAGGAAACGGGAAAAGAGACAATGATGGAAGGAAGAGGAAAAGGAACTTTGACGAAACAGAGGAAGGGAGAGGAAGGGAGAGGAAGGGAGAGGAAGGGAGAGGAAGGGAGAGGAAGGGAGAGGAAGGGAGAGGAAGGGAACGAAGAAAAAGAATGAAGAAAGAGGAAAAGAACGAAGAAAAAGAATGAAGAAAGAGGAGAAGGCACATTGTGGGAGCCAGAGAAAACCAACCCTACCAGGAGCAAACAAAAAAAAACCAAACGCACCGGGCTAAAAAAAACCCTTCCCAGCCCCACAGCCCATCAGCCCATCAGCCCAGGGCGGGGAGGGGCCGCTCACCTGACCAGGGTCTGGTTGTGCAGGTCCCAGACGGCGATGTTGCCGTCGCTGCAGCACGAGAAGCACACCTTGGCGTCGGGGCTGATGGCCAGAGCGTAGCAGGCGGGCGCCGACGACGTCAGCTCGGCCTTGATGCGAGGCGTGGGCGACGCCAGGTCCCAGATGGTCAAAGTGCTGGCCTCGCCCCCCACGATCAGGGTGCGGCCGTCCGGCAGCAGCTTGCAGGAACGGATGTAGTTATCCCTGTTCTGGGAAAGGGGGGGAGGAAAAAAAAGGGATGGTCAAGGGGTGGAGAGGGTGGGGGGATGGGGGAGAGGGAAAGGGAGGGCAAGGGGGTGGGAGAAAAGGAAAAGGGATTGCGATGGGGAGGTGAGAAAGAGGGATTGTGATGGGGAGAGAAGAAAATGGATGGTGATGGGGAAAAAGAAACAGGGATCGTGATGGGGAGAGAGGAAAATGGGGAGAAGAGGGCAACGAAGTGAGAAACGAGGAAAAGGGATGTTGGTGGGTAAAAGAGGAAAAGGGACCATGATGGGGGAAGAGGGTAACAGGGTGAGAAAAGAGGAAAAGAGATATTTATGGGGAAAGAAGAAAAGGGACGTTGATGGGGAGAAGAGGAAAAGGGACCGTGATGGGGAGAGAAGAAAATGGATGTTGATGGGGAGAAGAGGGCAACAAGGTGAGAAATGAGGAAAAGGGATGTTGGTGGGGAAAGAGAAAAAGGGATCATGATGGGGGAAGAGCAAAAGGGAAATTTAAGGGGGGAAAGAGACATAACAGGAAGAAGAAAAAGACAATAATGCCGAACAAAGAGTTGGTAATGGAGAAGAACGTTAAGGGCGGAAAGAGGAAACACAGACAGCAATGTGGAGATGTTAATGAGGAGATGATGATTAACAACATCAGAGGTGGGTGAGGGAGGGGACATGGCCCTGGGGACAGCAAGGGCTGGGGACAGCAGGGGACACAGCACAGGGGGACACGATCCTGGGGACAGCAAGGACATGGCCCAGGGACAGCAGGGACACAGCGCAGGGCCCAGCAGCAGCCGCAGCCCCGCCTCACCAGGCAGTCCAGCTGCGAGATGGGGCTCTTGCTGCCGGGCTGGCTGATGTCCCAGATCTTGACGCAGCCCTTGCCGCCGGTGTAGACGTGGCGGGTGGGGTTGCTGATGGTGACAGCGCACACCACCTCGCCGTGGCTCAGCGTGTTGATCTGCCGCGCGTGCCGCGGGATGCCCGGCCCCGCCAGCGCGTCGTGCGGGAACGGCACCGGCTGCATCTGCCCGTCCGCGCTCACGTGGAATGAGTACGCCCTGCCAGGAACATGGGGAGGGGAAAAAAAATAAAAAAAATAAAAAAAAAGGGCTCAGATCCACCCCAGAGGGTTGTTGAGGTTAATAAGTGTCCTAGGTTACAATGTAAAGGTGCGCCTGAAAGCGTGGATTCTGTCACCAGCTGTTAAAGCAGGTGGGGCAGTGTTCTGTATGTCTGTGGAGATATTCTCTGTCAATGGGGCAGGTGTTAAAAACCAGGTAGGGCAGTGTTCTGTATGGCTGTGGAGATGTTCTCTGTCAATGGGGCAGGTGTTAAAAACCAGGTGGGGCAGTGTTCTGTATGTCTGTGGAGATATTCTCTGTTAATGGGGCAGGTGTAGGCAGTGTTCTGTATGGCTGTGGAGATATTCTCTGTCAATGGGGCAGGTGTTAAAAACCAGGTGGGGCAGTGTTCTGCATGTCTGTGGAGATATTCTCTGTTAATGGATCGTGTGTTAAACCAGCTGGAGCAGTGATCCTTATCTTTGTGGGAGACATCTCCTCTAATGGGGCAGGTGTTAAACCAGCTGGGGCTGTGTTCTTTATGTTTTCCTTCTTCCAGGAGGTATTTCTTGTTAATGGGCCATTGAGTGTCACTGCATGACTGATCAAATTCCATCATCCCATTGGGAGATGCTCCAGCCAGGGCAGGAGCCGAGCATTTCCTACCCAGATCAAAGGGGAGATTTGGAACAGCAGAGCAGCCTTTTCCCACTGGATCCCAGAGGAAAACCAGAGCCTTGCACATCATCCCTGCAGCTTTGGAGGAAAACTGCACCTTGTGCAGGAGCCCTGCTCCAGCAGAACCACATCTGTCACTGCAGGAGGATGCAGCCCCCATGGAATGGGACTGCACCAACCCTGACTGACTGACGGGGGCACCTTAGATTCTCACTCTGACTGTGGTTTTCCTTTGTACTATTGCATGTATTTTATTTTTTTTCCTCTTTTTTCATATTAAATTGCATTTCTGACTTGGAGTCTCTCACTGGTTCTGCTTTCAAACCAGTACAGTAAATCAAGAGTAATGAGTTTTAAGGAAAACTCAAAGGTCTCGGATGCCAGAGTAAAAGAGCGAGTTCCAGTAAAGGCTGAGTTCCAGAGGCTTTTCAAGATGCTGGGGACACAGCCCAGCTGTCACCTGGTCACAATGCCAGCCCTGGCTGGGTCTCCCTCGTGTCCCTCCCCCCCAAATCCCACAGAAATCCAAGCAGTGCTTACGGTTTCCCTCCGGGGATGGAGGCCAGGCTGGAGGGCAGCCCTGGGGCTCGCATGGGGGGGTGTGGGTCAAACCCGACCTGCCAAGAGATGCAGGGACACAGTGAGGCCAGGAATGTCACCCAGCTTCCCATCCAGATCCCTTGGGGACACTGCAGTGAGGTCAGGAATGTCACCCAGCTTCCCATCCAGATCCCTTGGGGACACTGCAGTGAGGTCAGGAATGTCACCCAGCTTCCCATCCATCACCCCTGGGAACTCTGGGCAGCTCCTTCTCTTCCCCTGCTGCTCAGAGCTAATTAATAACTGGGAATTCTCCAATTAATTCTCTAATTAATAATTGGGAATTCTCTCTGGCAGACAGGGGAGCCAGCCAAAGGTTTGGGGTCTGCAAGAAGCAGGTGGGACATGCTCCCTCCCCTTCCCTGTGTCATTCCCAAATCCTCAGGGATGGGATCAGCCACATTGTGCCCAAGGACAGAAACCCCAATCTCTGCTTTGATGGCAGAGTCTGACTGCTTGTTCTGCCTTAAAACAGGAGTTTAGTGAGAGGAACAGGAAGGGGGTAAAGGAATGGGATGGGGGTTGAGGAATGGGAGAAGGAGCTCAGGAATGGGATAAAGGGGGATGAGAGGAACGGGATAAAGGGGTTGAAGAATGGGATAAGGGGGATGAAGAACATGAAGGAGAAACCCCAACCCCATGACACACACACACACATCACCCCACCAACAACCACCTCCATCCCCATCCCTTCACCCCAAACCACAGCTGCCTTTAGGGACCCCCCCTCCCCCATCCCCAAACCCCCCCATCAGCCTCCCCCAGGCCCTCCCCCCAGGGAGAAAGGAGCTAAAAGTGCTACGTACAGCTCCAAAGCTCACCATGGGTGCCCGGCCGTAGGCGGCGGCGGCGGCGGCGGCCGCGCTCATCTGGGGGGGGAGGTTGTGCAGCCCCGCGTAGGCGCCGGGGCTCGTCAGGGACCCGTTCATCTCGTGGTGCCCCATCATGGCAAACGGGGCCGCGTAGGAACCCGCGATGGAGATGGGCGTGCGCAGGGCGGAGGCTGCGGGGACACGGGGGACATGGGTCAGGGAGGGGGCAGGGACGGGGACATGGGACAGGGATGGGGACACAGACATGGATAGGGACATGGGACAGGGAGCAGGAACATGGGACAGGGATGGGGACACTGTCAAGGAGGGGGCAAGGGCAGGCATGGGGACATGGGACAGGGAGGGGGGACACGGGACAGGGAGCGGGGACACGGACATGGGAAGGGATGGGGACATAGGTGGGACATGGGCAGAGGTGGGGACATGGGACAGGGCTGAGACACCGTCAAGGAGGGGGCAAGGGCAGGCATGGGGACACGGGACAGGGATGGGGACACAAGGAGGGGGTTAGGGCAGGCATGGGGACATGGGACAGGGAGCAGGGACACTGTCAGGGGTAGGGCATGGGTGGGACAGGGGCAGGGATGGGAAACTGTTAGGAATGGGAACATGGTCAGGAACTAGGGACACAGGACAGGGATGGGGACACTGTCAGAGGTGGGACACAGGACAGGGAGCAGGGACACCGTTGGGGGGGACAGGGGCAGGGATAGGACACGGGCAGGAATCAAAACACAGGACAGGGGTGGGGAGGGGCAGAGCACAACCACAGAAAACCCCAACCCTGGAGTCCAACCCCACCTTGTCCCCATCCCAGACCACCCAGTGCCACATCCAGGTGTTCCTTTGGCACCTCCAGGGATGGGGACCCCACCACCTCTCCCTGGGCATTCCCACCCTTTCCATGGGGAAATTCCTGCACATGTCCAACCTGAGCCTCCCCTGGCACACCTTGAAGCTGTGTCCCCTCATCCCATGATTGGACCTCCCTCCTCACCCCAACAGCTGTCCAGACCTGGATCAGTTCCCCATAAACCTCATCCCCCATAAATGCAATCCCCAAATCTGCCATTCCCCGTGACAGGGACGAGCTGCAGCCACGCTGGGGACAGTGGTGACCCCGTGGTGACCCCAGTACCCACCCAGGGGGTCCATGCCGCTGGGTTTGCCGGGCATGGGCCGCAGCCCCGGGGTGCTGGAGGTGCCCGGGGTGGGAGCGTCGTTCCTGGGCGTCGGAGTGTTGGACTTGAGGCCGGGCGTGGAGGATTTGTCATTCTGGGAGGAGAAGGGATGGAAAAGGAGGGATGAGCTGCAGACCCAGATCCAGCTGGGATGCTGTCATGGGCTGCAATGCAGGATGTGGCCAAAAGTGTGGATTCTGTCACCAGCTGATAAACCAGCTGGGGCAGTGATCCTGATCTCTGTGGGGATATTCTCTGTTCATGTTCCAGCTGTTCACCCAGCTGTTGCAGTGTTCTTTATCTTGCCCACAGCCCATCCTCCCTCCAGGAGATCTCTCCTGTTCATGGCCATGCAGTCCCAGGGCAGGGCTGATCAAATTCCATCATCCCATTGGGAGATGCTCCAGCCAGGGCAGGAGCCGAGCATTTCCTACCCAGATCAAAGGGGAGATTTGGAACAGCAGAGCAGCCTTTTCCCACTGCATCCCAGAGGAAAACCAGAGCCTTGCACATCATCCCTGCAGCTTTGGAGGAAAACTGCACCTTGTGCAGGAGCCCTGCTCCAGCAGAACCACATCTGGCACTGCAGGAGGATGCAGCCACCATGGAATGGGACTGCACCAACCCTGACTGACTGACGGGGGCACCTTGGATTCTCCCTCTGCCCCTGCTCTGGGTTTGTTCTCTGCAATACTGGATTCCTATTTTAATTTTCCTGGTAAAGAACTGTTATTCCTATTCCCATATCTGTGCCTGAGAGCCCCTTAATTTCAAAATTACAATAATCTGGAGGGAGGGGATTTACATTCTCCATTTTATAAAAAGAGGCTCCTGCCTTTCTTGGCAGACCTGTCTCTGAACCCAGGGCAGCAGCAGAGACCCCCCAGAGCAGTGACCCTGCTGAAGGGACATACGTGGCCCAGGTCCTTGGTCTTGGAGGAGGGAGTGCTGCTGGAGGAGGCCACCGAGGCTGGGCTGTTGGGAGCGTCCCCCTTCTTCATCCCCCGGGCTTTGTCCAGGCCGTTCTCGGGGGGGGAATGGGCCGGGCTCACCCGAGGGGTGGCAGGGTCCTGTGGGATGGGAAAAGTGTTGGAATTCCCACAGAGGGAAGGGTCCCCCCCCCCCAGCTTCTCCTCCAGGCTGGTGAGGGAAGTCCCACAGGAATCAATTCCCACATCCCAAAGCCAGCCAGAGCTCACCTCGTTGGAGACATCGACCACCAGGTCATCGCTCTTGTCACCATCGCTGTCCTGCAAGGCAGAGCGTGTCACACCCCACACAGAGCTCCCAAACCCGGGGGTGATCAGCCCCCCAAGGAGCCAAACCACCCCCAGCAGCAGCAGGACACTCAGGCTGGAGACCGGGGAAATCCTTCCATGGAAAAGGAAATTTTTTCACAGAAAATCTGTTTGATTAAATTTTTTCGTGGAAGGGGCTGGGGTGGGGTCAGTCAGGGGAGTGGATGTGGCACTTTGGGGACATGGATGTGGCACTTTGGGGACATGGATGTGGCACTTTGGGGACATGGATTTTGGTGGCCTTGGCACTGCTGGGGGACGGTTGGACCCCACGGTCTCCAAGGCCTTTTCCAGCCTGAACAATTCCACGGTTCTCACCCACATCACACCTGGAAAACATCACCCAAACCCCTCTTTCTGCCCCCAAAACACCGCCTGGAGGTGTCCCCATGGCCTGTCCCCGTCCCTGTCACTCACATATCGGCTCATGCTGTCCTTCTCCTCCGCTTTCCTCTTCTTGGAGTCCATGCTGTAATCCGTGGAGCTCCGGTGCTTCTCGCTGGCCCGCAGGCTCTCCGAGGGGGACACGGAATTATTCTGTGGAGATGGGAGAAGCTTTGGAGTGGGAACACGAGGGAACAGGGCTCCAGGAGCAGCAGGACCCGAGGGGACACGCCCAGCCCTGTCCCAGTGACACCCCAGGGTCCCCCTCAATGTCACAGGATCCAACTCTGGATCCTGGGAATGCTGGGAGGACACCCATGGACACCTGAGCTCCTTTTTAGCAGGAAAATGAAGGGGGTTGTTGTTTATAAAAAGATCTGGGAAAACCCACATGGCTGGGAAAGTCCAGTGCCCAGAGCACAGCTCTGCTCATTGGGAATTTCTTGGGAATGCCAGCATGTCCTGGGGTTTGCTCCCTTCAAGTTGGCATTCCCAGGAAAGCTCCAGAGCCCAGGGGTTCTCCCTCTGGCAGAGCTGGGAGAAGAGCAAAGGAACGGCTGCATCCCCACCCTGGAGCCAAAGGACATCCAGAAAATGTCCTGGAAAAGCCACGTGGGCAGGAATGGCAGAGCCCAGTGCCTGTGGCACAGGGGGGATTCTCCAAGCCCAGGAGATGCCAGCATTCCCAGGAAAGTTCCAGAGCCCAGGGGGTCTCCCTCTGGCAGAGCTGAGAACCTCATCCAGGAGGAGCAGCAAAAAAATGGCTGCATCCCTGCCCTGGAGCCAAAGGACATCCAGAAAATGTCCTGGAAAAGCCACGTGGGCAGGAATGGCAGAGCCCAGTGCTCACAGCACAGCTCGGCTCACTGGGAATTTCTTGGGAATGGCAGCACGTCCTGGGCTTTGCTCCCTTCAAGTTGGCATTCCCAGGAAAGCTCCAGAGCTCAGTTCTCCCTCTGGCAGAGCTGGGAGCCTCATCCAAGAGGAGCAAAGGAACCACCCTGGAGCCAAAGGACATCCAGAAAACGTCCTGGAAAAGCCACGTGGGGCAGAGAAGGCAGAGCCCAGGAGATTCCAGCACTCCCAGGAAACGCTGGAATCAAACCCAGCAGCAGCACGAGGAGGATGCCTGGCCCCGATCCCACATCCCCATCACCACCCCACACCTTCCCTGCCCTCAATCCCTGTGCCAGCAGCAGGATCTACCCCCACACTCCCTGAGCCTGCCAAGCCCCTGAGCCGTCCCTGCCTTTCTTCCCCCGCTGAAAGGCAGAACCAAAGCAGGTTCATGTTTCTGCTGGGTCCCCACTAAGCAGCTTTGGATAACACGGAGCTCTTTCTTCCCAGGCAGTCATGCTGAAAACCCTCACAGCTCCCAGAGAATCATGTCAGGCATTTAGAGGCATCGATCCATTCAGCCCCGCTCCTGGCCTGCTGCCAAGGAACTAAATATTTTTTATTGCACAGGCAAAGGCTTGGGGAGGAGGAGGAGGAGGAGGGAGGGGGGGGGAAAAAAAAAAAAAAAAAAAAAAAGAATGACTAAGGCTGATTATCACACACATTAAACCTCCACGGGGAATACCCCAGCTCGCAGTTGATGGATTGGGAAGCTGCCCGGCCCCCTGCCCGCCGCAGGAGCGGGTTAATGATGCCCAATTCCCCTCTGGCTCTCCCCCCTCGCTCAGCACTTCCCTTCCCCTGCTCTCCAAAGGGTTGTTTGTGGGCTCAGGGCTGGCAGGAAATCGCTGCCAAGCCGCAGCTCGGCCGGGTTTTTTTTTTTTTTTTTTTTTTGGCCTGGCAGATTTTCACACGGAATTCTGCGGGCTCGGGAAAAACCTCCGGGATCACCAAGAGCTGGGACACGGCCCCAGCTTGTCACCAGCACAGAGAGCTCAGGGACACCTCCAGGCTTTCCTGGGACACCTCCCTGTGCTGCTCCTTCTGATGCTGAACAGCCCTTTCCATGAAATTCCCCCGGAGGTGACATTTTCCCTGAATGGGGAATGGCTCAGCCCCATTCCACCAGCAGGGCAGTCCCCACCTGGCTCCTGCCACCCTCAAAATCCAGGGAATCTATCCCGAGGGCAGGCTCCTCCAAAATCCAAGGATTTCCCAGCGATTGGAATCCTCCAAAATGCAGGGATTTCCCAGGGATTGGAGCCCTGTAAAATGCAGCGATTTCCCAGGGACTGGAGCTCTCCAAAATTCAGCGATTTCCCAGGGACTGGAGCTCTCCAAAATTCAGGGATTTCCCAGGGATTGGAACCCTCCAAAAGTCAGGGATTTCCCAGGGATTGGAACCCTCCAAAAGTCAGGGATTTCCCAGGCACTGGGATTGGAACTCTCCAAAATCCAAGGATTTCCCAGGGATTGGAGCCCTCCAAAATGCAGGGATTTCCCTGGTTAGGAACTGCTTGAGCTCCCAAATCCTTAACAAGGAGCAATAACCAAACCCATCCCAGATCAGATGATCCCAGGTGACTGGGGGAGATCAGGAATGATCCAGCTTCCCCCAAAGGTTCTGGGTCTGACCACGCTCATTCAGCCAAAATTTCCTGATTTGCCACAAGCAAAGGGATTTAAATCAAATTTCCCAACCACCACCAAGGAGAAGGTGACTCTGCTCATCCCAGCACAGGCTCCTGACGAGGGATTTTATTGCCTGGTTTTATTATTTAATAAGATCTGTGCCAAGGAGCAGCCCCTGGCTGGGTTTTTAAGGGATAAAATAAAAACTCAGCCCTGCAGCCACCAAAAAGTGGGAGCAAAAGGAAGGAATGGGACTTACTGCACTTGAGTCTCGCTCTTCAGGAGATGCCAGGGCACAGCCAAAACAGAGACAGGAAAATAAAGCAAGTTAGGATAAACTTAAAACCCAAACCCTTAAATTCAAGCCCTGTCTGGGCTCTCTCCACCTTTAAAATCTCCCCCCATCCAATTCCTGCCCCTTTTTTGATTTATTTGGCCAAACACGGCTGGGAAAGCCCTGAATCCAAAGGGAATGGCAGCAGCCCCAGGCGTCTGTCCCACAGCCCTGGGTGCCCAGCTCCACGTCCTGGGTGTGGTTCAGCCAATTTGTACCCAAATGTGTCCATTTGTACCCAAATGTGTCCATTTGTACCCAAATGTGAACATTTCCCCTGGGACCTTGGAAATCTGAATCCATGCAGGAAAAGGAATGGAACTGGATCATTGCTGCCAATAGTTTTGTCTGCTTTTGTTTTTTGGTTTTTGTTTTTTTTTTTTTCCCCCAGCAGAGCCCAAACAGCTCAGAGAACAGTGGGAACCTGCCCAAGGGGGAAATGGAAGGGAAATATCCCAAATTCCCAGTGCTGGTGGACAGGGGGATGTGCCAGGACAATCCTGGTTTGCACCTGGAATCTCAGATCCCAAAAAATGGGGGAAATCCACCGAGTTCCTGCTGGACAGAGCTGGATCCCTGCCTGGGAGGGCTCTGTGGTGGTGATGGAGAGGAGGAGGAGGAGGAGGCTGAAGGCTGCTTTCCCACAAAGGCACAGCACAGGAATTGCTCCACCAAAGGCTGAGCATCACTCAGGGAATTCACTGAGGGAATTCTGCATCCCTAAAAGGGCAATCCCATGATCTGAGCCAAGGGATGGGGTGATGGGAAATGAGTCCTGGCAGGAGCAGGGGGATCCCCCAAACTTCAGGGGGACCTGGAGCTGCTGGGACAATTCCAGAGGAGACCACAGAGCTGCTCCAGGGCTGGAGCGAGGCTGGGAGAGCTGGGAATGTTCCCCTGGAGAGGGGAAGGGTCCAGGGAGAGCTGGGAATGTTCTCCTGGAGAGGGGAAGGGTCCAGGGAGAGCTGGGAATGTTCTCCTGGAGAGGGGA